TAAGTACCGTTTCAAGAACCGTTTAAGCACCGGAACCGTTTAAAAAATACCGAGTAGGTACTGGAATCGGATAAAACCCAAACGATACCCAACCCTATAAATGACTACCTGCTGCCTGGTCCAGCTCTAGGTCCATCATTGCTAGGCGTCCTTCTACGCTTCCGTGAGTATACTGTGGCTGTGGGTGGTGACATCAAGAGAATGTTTCACCAGGTCCGCCTTCTACCTAAAGATAAACATCTCCTTCGCTTTGTGTGGCGTGACCTGGACAGAAACAGGCCTCCGGACATATTTGAGTGGCAGGTGCTACCCTTTGGTACAACTTGCAGCCCGTGTTGTGCCATTTATGCTTTGCAGCGGCATGTCAATGATCACAGTGACCCTGGTGATGAGGTCAGATCCACAGTTGAGAGGAACTTCTATGTAGATAATTGTCTGCGGAGTGTTCCATCTCCTCAAGAGGCCAAACAACTAGTTGATAGACTGTGTGGACTCCTAGCTACTGGAGGTTTCCAACTCCGTCAGTGGGCAAGTAATGTGCCTAGCGTGATTGAGCATTTGCCAACTGAAGCACGATCTGACAGCACTGAGCTGTGGTTATCCCAAGACCGAAATGACACCCAGGAATCCACTTTAGGATTGAAATGGCACTGTCAATCTGACACATTCGGTTACAAGCCCCGCCATGTAAAGCCAGGAAAATGTACTCTGCGTCACATTTATAGAGTATTAGCAACTCAGTATGATCCCCTTGGATTTATCCTTCCATTCACCACACGGGCTAAATTGCTGGTTCAGAGACTGTGGGATAAGCAGAGAGAATGGGATGATCCTAATATGCCCCAGGATCTCCTGGAGTCCTGGAATAACTGGGAAAGGGAATTCCCTAACCTGGCCAACATTACACTGCCTCGTTGTCTTGTGACATCAAATACAGACCAGTCTACGGTTACCAGGCAGATTCACATATTCTGTGACGCTTCGGAGAAGGCATATGGGTCCGTCGCCTATCTACGGTCAGAAGACCTACAAGGCCAAGTTCAGTTAGCCTTCATTATGGCGAAATCTAAAGTTGCTCCTAAGCGACAACAAACCATTCCCGACTGGAATTATGTGGGGCATTGAATGGTGCTCAACTGGCCAAACTCCTTGAAGCTGAACTCACTTTAGAAATCAGTAAAGTGGTCATGTGGACAGACTCCACAACTGTCCTTGCATGGATAACGTCTGAATCCTGCAGATTCAAAGTATTCGTTGGGACGAGGATTGCAGAGATCCAGGAACTGACTACTGGATGTACCTGGAGGTACGTAGACTCGTACAGTAACCCAGCTGATGACCTTACCCGAGGTAAAATGCTTGCAGAGTTATCAATACCCAACAGGTGGAGCCAAGGTCCATCATACTTGCTCCGACCCAAACCGGAATGGCCAGTTACTCCTCCTATTCAAGATCCCATGGATAAAGACGAACAGCGAAAGGGTATTTTCTGTGGATTACTAACAGAAACTACTGCCCCTAACATTCCTGAACCGGCCAACTATACTTCCTGGAGTGACCTCGTTAAAGCATCAGTTAAAATTCATAACCCCAATGAAACCCCTTCTGCAGCGGACTACCAGGCTGCAGAAATGCTCCTCTTTCAGAAATCACAAATTGATAGTTTCCCTGAGGAGTACAGACTGCTCAAAGAGAAAAGACCAATTCTCTCCACCAGCCGGCTGTTAACCTTAGCCCCAGAATATGATGAGTCTTACCAGGTAATCCGAGTTGGTGGTCGTCTTCGTCGTGCAGAAGGAATGGAGCCATCAGTGATCCACCCTATAGTGCTAGATCCTTATCACATAGTCACCAAACTACTAATAAAAGAATATGATGACAAGCTCTGCCACCCCGGACCAGAGAGGGTATTTGCGGAAATACGGCGAAACTTTTGGGTGCTGAGAGGGCGTGAAGCCATCTGTAGGAAGCAACATCTATGCAAAGAATGTCGCAAGTGGAAAGGCAAATCAGTCATTCCAAAGATGGCAGATCTGCCACCAGCCAGACTGAGACTCCAAAAACCACCTTTCTTTAGTACGGGCATGGACTGTTTCGGACCATTTCAAATCAAAATTGGCAGACGCAGTGAGAAGAGATGGGGGATAATCTTTAAGTGCCTTACCACAAGATGTGTTCACCTCGACTTGCTTACCTCTATAGATACTGATTCCTTCTTAATGGCCCTGCGGAGGTTTGCAGCCCGTCGTGGCAAACCATGTGAATTATTCTCAGAGCATGGCACAAACTTTCATGGTGGAGAAAGAGAACTTCGAGAGGCCTTTGCATCTCTCAGCCCTCAACTGCAACAGCATCTGGCCAAGCAGAAAATATCTTTCCATTTCAACCCACCAAGTGCTCCACACTTTGGGGGTGCCTGGGAACGAGAGATCCGCTCTGTAAAGAATGCTCTTCGTATCACCATCGGCTCACAGACAGTATCTGAGGAAGTGCTCCTGACAGTGCTTATTGAAGTGGAAGGGATCTTGAACAGTAAACCTCTTGGGTACACATCTTCCAATGTAGCTGACTTTGACCCAGTTACGCCCAATTACCTACTCATGGGGCGGCCTGATAGTTCATTACCACCTGTTATATATCCAGCTACAGTGCTCATGGGGCGGCGGAGATAGAGGCAAAGCCAGGTGCTAACTGATCAATTTTGGTCAAGCTTTATGCGCCATTACTTGCCAACACTCCTAGCTCGTCACAAGTGGTGTAAAGATACGAGTGACATTTCCCCGGGAACTATTGCTATGCTTGTAGACCCACAACTCCCACGTGCCATGTGGTTGGTCGGCAAGGTAGTTAAGACCTTTCCTGGATCAGATGGTCATATCAGAGCAGTGGAAATCCAAGTGAAGAATAAAGTATACACTCGGCCAGTTGCAAAACTAATCCCACTTCCAGTCCTTGCAGATGACGAACATGACAAAGACTCAGATCCCCCTAAATGACTGTCCCATTACAGTAGCAAATATGTTCAACATATTTGGGGGCGGCGATGTTGGGAAGGAACAACCAATCAGATTAGTTGTTGCTCCATTGCGTCAATCACTTTCTGTTCCTGATGAGCCTACCACGCTACCACTTGGGTTTCTCCAGGATGTGCACTTAACTTTACTTCCATGGTCAAAGTGGATATGTTTAAGTTGTGCGTCAATGATACTATACCACACAACATACTACCTCAGATACCATGTCTAATAGGATAGTGCCATTCAATGTCCTGTGGTCTGACTGTGCCGTTCATTGTGCTAAATATTCATGCTGGACCTAATTAAAACTGTTACTTCTGATTCCTGCCTCCTGTGTTCTGACCGGCACACCAGTGCGAGCACAGCTATATTGAACCAGTGCAAATACAGTCCTAAGCAAACTCATTAATAACAAATATACAGGAAAAACACTTTTGTTATCCCACTGTCGTTATTGTTTTAATGCAACTGCAACAGAGCATCACTTCCCAATAACATTTTAATACTTGTCTCCATATTTCTGACTCACTTCTATTGGCTACACACTTCTGGCAGCTGCTTGTAATGCTTTATTTGATGGTCTGCTAGACATTTGAAAAGTTTTTTTGTGTGTGTGTGTTGCTTATTTTCCCCTGAATGTCACGTTCGCCTCTGTGTCTATATTTAAATTTCACATCACATGTATCACAAGACCTTGCATGAGCATTCCAGGATGTCACACAGACTTCTGTTACTATCTTGGTCCTTCTCTGTCCTTTTGTTTTCACTGTTGTCAGTGGAAAACATGAAGTCATACACTAAAAATATGGGCTTATATGCTACGTTTCAAAGTCAATTTATTTCTATCAGTGGGTTTTATGATCCCTTGCTATGCCAGGATCTACCAGGTGGCCCAAAGGCGAGCCAGACAGAGACACATTGCAGTATGAGCCAGAACTGTCTATCATGTCATTCTCTCAGCTCCTCAACACATCAAGCTGCCCAAGTGAGAACTCGGAAATGAGAGAGGAAGACTGCCAAAACTCTGTCTGGCTTCATATTAGTATTCCTGTTCTGCTGCCCTTAACCACTGTTGCACATACACTCAGGGTCAACATTTAAAAAAACAAAATAAAATAACTAGCCCTACATGCTAACCACAATACAATAAACCATGCGGCCCATAGTTACAAAACATTGTCATGGTAGCCATATAGTTTCTGCAAACTGGTGTTAGAGCACTGATTAAAGCTTTATATTCTCAGCCATAATGTAAACATAATAATTTTGAAGCACAAATTGTGTTTGTTTGCTTAAGTATTTATATATTTACATTTAATTGTCTCCTGATATTTGAAAGACAATTAATCGTAAAAATTACTGTCTCACTTTACCTGATGTCCCATTTTTGCATGTATATTCTTTATATTTATTAGGCTAATAAAATAAAATAAATCATAATCTTTCTGTCATTTTATTTATTTACTTGTATTTATTTATGATTACATTTAATTGTCTCCTGATATTTAAAAGACAATCAATACTGAAAATTGTTTGTCCAACTTTACCTGATGTTCCATTTTACTGATAGCCTATACATTATTATTGATAGCCTATATACTGTGTATTTATTATTAACATAAAATCATTACAAACATGTATTTGTTTATTTATTTATTTACATTTAATTTGTCTCCTGATATTTAAAGCACAATCAATACTGAAAATAATCTGTCCCACTTTACCTGATGTCACATTTTTGGTGATATGTACATTATTGGTATATTTATTTATAATTAAAATTAAATTATCACAAACAATGGTCTTTATATTCATTCATTCATTGAAAATATTGATTTTGGTCACTGTGGAAAATATTTGTAATGATGAAGACAATACAGATATATTTTTACGTTTATGTTGTTGGTGTTTTTAAATATCACTCAAATATGTGTGTACTACGAACTAGAACTACATATCCCAGAATCCGTTTGTACCCAAGCGTCAGGCAGTGCACGATTAACCGGAAGAGACGGTATGGCTCATTTCTAGAAGGTGAGGAAGAAGTACTGAGTGATTGTTTTTATCTAAAATGTTCTGTTTAAAATGTGTTATCTTCACAATACTTATAAATATTAATATAAATGCAAGTTAAACTTAAAATAATGTATTCGTGTTTGCCGAATGCAGAGCTGCTGAAGTGAAATCAGTCCTGTTAACACATGTGCTAATAGTATGTTTTGACTGATATTTTGATCTGAACCTGGTAATCTAAGCTACTATCCATCACAGTCGAATGTTTTTGTGATCGCAGTTTTTTATTTAATGAAGTTTCTGGAATGCTGAAGAATTATTCCATTATAAATTAAGTATGTTACGAGGTTTAGCAGCTCTGAAGTAAGCATGACATTTATTTGATAACAATACGGCGATTCAAAGTCTGTTGTATTATTTCAGCACATTTAGCTGCACATGGTACTATAAGCTGAAGTATGTACTTTAGACTTATTCAATACTTGCTTTATATGACATGCTGTATTTTTCCCCCCCAAATAGGCTAAATGTATGATCATTTTATGGTAAATTGTTTTGCAGTGTTGGAGGAGGTGAATATGGTTTGAGGTCATTTACATTTACCTCACTTAAATACTGTTCAGGTTGTGGTGACAGCACAACTCCAGATGGAGACGGAGTCCGAGACGCTCTCAGCCGCCATGGCTAACACCTTAAAAGTGTCAGAGACCAGAGAAACCACTGCAGACCATGAAGAAGACTGTTTCTATGACTGTGAGGACAAATTACCCGGAGAAGAGGGACACACTGACGTTAAACGCACAGAGAGGGCTCACAGTGATAGACTGAAGTCAGATGCCAGGACAGAAAAAGACAACAGCGTAGAAACTGAGAGCCTAGAAAACATGGATGACACTGACCGGTTGTGTTTGGATAACACATCATCAGAGGATTCTGAAGAGCACGAGGACAGGTCGGCTGAAAAGAGACATGACTCATTAACAGGAGATCCTGGGGAAGACAATGGTGAAGAACAGGAGAAATGTGAGAGGTTTTTGGAGAACGATGAGAAGAGAGAGAGTGACTCAGATTCAGAATTTAAAGAAGAGGAGGTCAAGGTGACGGAGTATGATGAGGAATACCTGCGCGAGCTGGAGAAAGACCTGACGGAAGAAGAAAAAGAGGTTCTCCTCTTATTATTTTTCACATCCAGTTCAGCCTGTACCATATTTCATGCCATTGTCATTGATGTGCTCACTGTCTCTTGATATTTATATTCATTATTTCCTTCTTCTAATTACAGAGCAGAAGAAAAGAGAGTTTAGAGCTGAAGGAGAAGGGCAACGTGCAGTTCAAGAATGGAGGTAAGACAATCCCAGTCAAAGATAAATCGGATTCTTGCTGTCTGTTCCCACCTATTTTATTCTGTGGCACTAACTTCTGTTTGCATATGAATAGTTCACCAAAAATAATAAGAATATCTGAAGTCCTTACACAGCTCTTTTCAAAACAGTGACACTTCGTCACATCTGTCAAGCTCCATAAAAGACTCCATTAAAACAGAGATATTAGACTTCATACAAGTATTCTGTAACTTGTGTGCTACACACTACTAACATTTTGAGGTCAGTACGTAAAAAAAAAAATAATAATCAAAAGTGACAGTAAAGACATTTATAATATGAAAAAAGATTTATCAAATAAGCCTGAAAAAAATATTACGCAGCACAACTGTTATTTGAACATTGATAATAATAAGTTTCTTGAGCAGCAAAATCAGAATATTAGAATGATTTCTGAAGGATCATGTGACACTGAAGGCTGGAGCTGAAAATTCAGCTTTGACATCACAGGAATAAATCGCATTTTAAAATATATTCAAATTGAAACAACTTCTTTTAAATTGTAATAATATTTCAAGCTGTTACTGTTTCTGCTTCTTCTGTTGATTAAATAAATGTAGATTTAATTAACATAAGATACTTATTTAAAAAAAAGATTTTGAACGATAGTGTGTTTCAAGTCAAATCTGAATGCATAGAATGACACCAAAATCTAAGTAATTATGCACAATATTATGATAATCAGTGAATAACTTAACTTTTAGTGTTCCTTCCCAACATTATCATATTACTTGAATATAGTGCACCAGTCTTATGGTCTACTTTTATAAAGCCTGGAACACACCAAGCCGAAGCCGACGAACTAGCGCTGATGAAAGCCGACTGTGTTGTCGCTTCAACATGTCGAATCGGCCGAAACAAAGCCGACGAGGACCAATTTCAGCCGACGGCAAGGAACCGTGCGGAACACACCGAGGAAACTTAGTCGGCCGACGCACAAAAACTGCCCGCCGGCCGACCGTCGGCTTGGTGTGTTCCAGGCTTAACACTTTTCTGGTGGTTTTATGTGATCAAAATGAAAAGAGCTACATACAAGATTCTTCACAAATTGTATGTTCTAAGAAAATACCAATAATACATAAATAAATAATGCTATAATTTTTTCAATTTTGCCTGAAAAATCCCTCGTTTTGTAAGGAAGCTTCATATACATATTAAATATATTGTGTTTGTGGATGAGCTTCTGACATGTGATTGTTTACAGAGCATGTGGATGCTGAGGAGTCTTACATGGCTGCCCTGCGTGTGTGTCCTGTGTGCTACAGTAAAGAGAGATCCATACTCTTCTCTAATCGAGCTGCCGCACGCTTGCATCAGGTGAACTTTTGCTTCTTTTTATACAGATACAGAATGTATATTTCTGTTTTATTTTCTGGTGAGTGGGTCAGGTGTACACTGTCTGTATAAACCTTTTAAAGGTTTGTTTAAAGAGATGTCCTCTGAGGACACATACTGTAGTGTTTGCTTACAGCACTGCATTGGATAGATATAGCTTAAAGTCATCATGGAACCAAAATGGATCATAATTTTTTACAGAATGTTGCATTGTTTACATTAAATGATTTATCCGTTCACATCATTATGTTTTTTTTTAATTCATGTGCACTCATTATCTTCAATCAAAAACGTTAACCTCCCCTTCCCCATTAAATCTGCAGTCCGGCGTTTTTCCTCTTTGTCGCCATCTCTGTTCGAAATCTGCAATTGCAGTCATTCGCGGAATTATCAACTTTACGCGAGTTGTACTTCGACACGGCACAGCGCGGATGAACACAATGTTTGAGGAGAGTGTGCAGCTGTCAGTCACCGCGCCGGTGTGGATACTGGCATTCAGAATCACAGATTATTCTTTTTGGAAGTGTGACCAACATAATAATTTTCACCGGAAAATGTCATCTGAACTAGTAAGAAACATCCACTTTTGTTCTGGTTCTGACATTGCAGTGATTAAATCTAACAATCGCTTATAAGTTATCATATCACACAAAACCGTGCAAATTATACTGTGTTCTCAAATTGTTAATGTTAACAACGTCAGCATTGCGTGACTACATGTAATGTCCTTCCGATATGTATCCTTGTTTTCGCACGGGTCCGGTTGCAGTCTCTTTTTTTCTGTAGCCACTCCGAAGTCCGAACGAAGTCTTTTGCATTTTACAGCGGGTGAATCTGTTGTCACTGGTGATTGTCGTTTGAACCTTTCTGGATCCGCCATCAAATTGATAAGTTTAATTATATCAAGTGCTGTGAGAAAAGGCTATAAATCTCCACCTCCAACATCCTCACACGCAATATAGCGTATACTAGCCGAGACTCTTCTTTATGTGTACAGATTAGGGCCGGGACTTTAACGCGTTAATTAAGATTAATCAATTACAGACTTTAACGCGTTAATTAATTACAGAAAAAAATATTTTTAATCGCACTTATTTTTGCACCGCGGAACGTTTCTCACTGGATGAGTTTCGGCGGACCGATTATACTGGCGCACCAACTAGCGTTCATGACGAAGAAGCTGACGAGATCGCTTTGGTTGGCCGGTGGATGGGAAATTTTGTTACAAAAAACGAACGGATGGAAGCGTCGATAAGAGCATGGTTGTGTGCAAGCTATGCAACAAGGAATTCGCTATTGCTATTAGTGTAGTGTAGCAATATGCTATTGCTACACTTAATGACAAAAATTGCACTGGTCTGCTGGACTTGGCTGAACAAAAATAAACAATATTTTGTTGCTTAAGCTTATGTATTCAGTCATTATTCAATGGTATACTAAAAATCCATGTGAAAAAAATTACTTCTCACTGTTCTCAGGTCAAATATTTATGCAATTAAAATGCGATTAATTTCGATTAATTAATTACAAAGCCTCTAATTAATTAGATTAATTTTTTTTATCGAGTCCCAGCCCTAGTACAGATGTGACGCAAAGACATGCTCGAATCTCCCGCGGAAATCCACCAGTACCACTGGAATTAAAAACATTATTACAAGCTTACCGTTTTGAATCAAGCTAAGGCAAGCAGATAGTTTTGAACACTGGCTGGTTATGTAGTTGCTCAAATATGTATTTTGGATAATTTTTAACCCCCAAAAAGCTACAGCTTTAAGTTAGCAACGCACAACTTTGTACGATCCAATCAATTCCCGAGGATGAAATCCAGACCCACACTATGTTTTTTGTTTTTTTATTTCACTCAGAAATATGTCACAATAGGGAACAAAAGACTATGGCAAATTCGGTTTCATGCTGTCTTTAAAGTATGTTCTTATAAGCAAATGCACACTCTCATCGTTTTTATTTTATTTTTTATCTCTATTTTGGAATCAGTATAGTGTAAAAACATCTTGATACAATCACTACTTTAAGTTCTCAAATTTGATTGTTTTTCCTCCAGTGTGTGTTCTTCTACTCATTCATAGTTTTACATTTTAACTTTATTTTTCATTTTATCTGACAGGATAAAAAAGACAGCGCTATCAGTGACTGCTCTAAAGGTGAGAGTATATCCTTTACACATTGTGTTCTGTATCTAGAGAAAGTCTCACAACTGTTTTTATTTTCTGTCTCTGAAGTGTATCTTTATTTCCTTTTCCTGAGGAAATGTGATTTGAAACAAAGACGTTTCAGACAATGTGTATTGTATTTGTCATCCTCAGCCATAGAACTGAATCCAAATTACGTCCGTGCCATCCTGCGGAGAGCAGAACTCTACGAGAAGACAGAAAAGCTTGATGAAGCTCTAGAGGACTACAAAACTGTCTTGGAGAAAGACCCGGGCATCCCTGCAGCTAGAGAGGCCTGTATGGTGAGTGTTTCTATGCCAGTGGCCTTTTGACTCCCAAAAGCCTTACACATAGTTACATATCAAGATTCCATTTAATCATTAAAGTTATCTAGAGGACCACTTGGAAGTTTGCTGAGGCCCCCTCGTCCTCATCATTAGGCTTCAATATATTTTTCATCTAATATGTGTTACAGAGTCAATTGGAAATCACAATTGTAAGCATGTAAGACAGAAAATATACAGGTTGTAACAACATGAGGATGAATAAATAAAACAAATAAAAAACATTTATTGTCTCTAAATTTCTATTTCTCTTTTAGCGATTGCCACGGCAAATTGAAGAGCGCAACGAGAAGATGAAAGAAGAGATGATGAGTAAGATTACATTTTTCTTTTTTGTATTTAATATTTTTGTCTGTCTAAGGTCAGAAACACCATGATAAGAGGTGTGAGATTAGTTTATTTAGGGCAGTACTAAATAAAAAATAAAATCCATTTTTGATGATCCCTTTTTTTTTTAAATTTAGGGCTGATTTTCCTAGTCGAGTGTTAAGGCCTGTACACACCGGGACGAATATCGGCTCGCGTTATTCGTCGGCGTTTTTCAACGCGTTTTTTGTGTTCACACCCAAACGATTTTCGCTGACGATGAGCCGAGTGAACACGCAAATTCATTCCCTGACATTAGATGGCGCTTAATGTAAAACAGAAATACCCCGGTCCACAAAGTGGCGCTGCGCAACTACGCTTCTGACACTCGCTTGTCACTCAGAAGAAGAGAGCAAGTTTGTCGCGTTTGTCATATAGTTCTTTATTGTCGTTGGTGTCTCTTTATAAAGACACCAACAAGACCAGCAGCTCTACATTCATCTAGCCTTGCATCTTCCTCGTCTTATTTCTTCCCGGCAGAGTGTAGACGCTGTATATCTTCTTCGCCATTACGTATGTGTGCTCGGCAAGACCGTTTTGTGTTTGAGCGCCCCCAAGTTGTGTTTTACTGTAACTTCAGAAGCTCCAGACACGTGAGCAAAAGCGCCAATCTCATTGGTCGGATAGTTTTTGACGCTGCGCGTCAAACCAAAAAAACGAACCCGAGGCGTTTTTTAAAAAATGACGCTTTTACGCGTGGCGTTTTACGCGTCGGTGTGCACACTCGCATAGGCGCCCTTTGTTTAGTCACGAGGCGTTAAACGTCGGCGAATAACGCGCGCGAAATTCGTCCCGGTGTGAACAGGCCTTTAGTCGTTCATTTACGCCATTAGTCGATTAGTCTGGGGAGAAATAATAAACCATAATAATGAGCATTTAAAATATAAACTAGGCGCTAATGACCTAAACTGTATGTTCTGACCATCATTGACTCTTGATTATATGGTTGATCTTAGCATATTGTTTGCAGGATACAGATATTCATGTGAATTTAATCAAAATGCGACTGTACTGTAATTTGGAAACACACATAAGGCTACAGTATTGGGGATATTCAAAGGGATGTCATCAGTCTGAGTGTTTCAGTGTAACAGCACTATTCATTTTGAAGGTTGTCTAGAAAAAAAAGAAACACTTTCTATTAAAGGTATTGCGATTAGAAAGTTCTAGTCAACTCCATTAATTAGTATATTTCAGAGAGTCCTTATAAACCAAAGAACCTTGGCTTGAAAAAAACCTTGTTGCATATATTATAAATGAAATCTCTAATGCAGTCTTCCTGGATTGTTTTATGCATATTTTCACTTGACCATAAATTGCACTGCATTGAGACAAAGGCTTGTGTCCATAAAATGGCTGTATAGAACAGTATAAAACAACAGCACAGTCAATTAGTGCAATTACTGGAGGGGTGGATAAATGTATTCCACTTTTGTCATAATTTACATTTATTATTATTACTATTATTATTAATATATTTATCTAAATATAAGTATATCAAATCTAATGTTTAATGATTTGTTTTTAAAAAGCAGGGAAAAAAATGGTTTACACATCAGTTATCAGACACTTGCACATTAATGAATTAATTACTATTGGTGTCGATCATAAAACAACATCGGCTGAGCTCTAACTACACTTTTTTTTTGCCAACACTATCATTTTAGTAAAAAAAACAATTCATACTACAAATGAGAACAGAGCGCAACAGCTCAGTCATAAGACAATGAAAATGAAAAGCAATTACACGAGACAGATTAATAAATGTCTTAAATCTTCCTCTTTTATTCCACTTTGTCAATTTACATCATGATGATAATAGTTATTATCAATACTTCTAATACAAATTTTATGTAGTGTTAATAATTGAGTACTGATTTTATCAATCATAAAACATCGGCTGATCTCTAATTAAAAAAATAACATCTGTATGTTTCTCTAGTAGATGGGTAAAGCAATATGATTACTAGTGTAACATGGATGTCTGCAATTTTCTCTGGTTTCCATTACTGGTTAAATGTTTCTTGTTATTTTTGCTATGCTTTCTCAGAGCACATGCTGCTATTGTCTGATTTAAGGTATTAATAAATGTTGCAAACACTATGTTTCCTCTAAAGATCAGATTTCCACTGTTGTCAGGCTGAACTTACTGCAGCTCACAGGGAAGGGTGTTTCTGTTTAACACTTCTTCATATTGATCTCACTGCAGTCCCAGTCACAGAGCCAGAGACAAAGCTCTCCATAATCACATTAGAGTCTTTTACCTTTTTCAGGCCAGGAAACTTGTTGGAGCAGTGGGACCCTGTTACATGTTGCATTTGAAGCCTAGCTTATATTAATGTATTCAAACACTTCATTAATTGCAAATCCAATAAAATTAATCATTGTTGATGTACGGATTCATACGTGCTTTACATTTCAATTTTATTTAATGCATTTTAATGAGGTTGTTTCAAAGGGATGGTCAAACAAAAGTTAATTCTGTATTTCTGTTAAATGCAAATGTTCTGTTTTTTCATAAAAATAACATTATCGTTCAAAAGTTTGGGTCAGTAAGATTTCTCTTGAAAGAAATGAATACCTTTATTTAGCAAAGATTTGAGAAAAAGGTGACAGCGAAGAGATTTAAATTGTCACAATTTTCTCTATTTAAATATAATAATTTCTATTCGTCAAAAAAAAATGTATGATGGTTTCCACAAATCTATTAAGCAGCACAACTGTTTTCAACATTGATAATTAGAATATTTTTCTTGAGCAGCAAATCAGCATATTAGAGTGATTTCTGAAGGATCATGTGACACTGAAGACTGGAGTAATGATGCTGAAAATTCAGCTTTGCATCACAGGAATAAATTGCATTTTAAAACATAATAAAATAGAAGAGTTATTTTCAAGTACTTTAAATAATATTTTACAGTATTTAATTTTTTTTCCTTTATTTTTGATCAAATAAGTGCAGCCTTTGTGAGCCCAAGAGACTTCTATTTGAACTTTTGAACCGATGTGTGTGTATTGAAGATCAATAAAATGAGCTTTTTTTTTATTGGCAGGTCATATTTATAATTTGTTTTCGCTTTGTCTTCTCAGGTAAGCTGAAAGACTTGGGCAACATGATTTTACGACCCTTTGGTCTCTCCACCTCCAACTTCCAGGTCAACCAAGATACCACAGGATCCTACTCCGTTAATTTTGTTCAGAATCCCAATAACAACAACAGATAGCAAGCTAGAGTCCGTTATTACAGTGATAAACTGTCGACTCCCCCGTCCAAGTGTTCGGACTATCCAATCATATTCCCTGTAACGGACAAATAATGTAAGCTGTTTCCATTTGATTTGGCCGATTACATAATCAGCTCATGTCAGGTGGCTTTTAAGTCTGTATTATTTTGGTCATTGTTTCAGCATGCCAGAGTGTTACGTGTGCAGTGAAGCTGGTATCAGTGACCCACAGACTGTCAGTTGTGAACAATGAGAATAATGGCAGTAATCAACCAAACCTGCGTTCACATTAAACCAGTGGTTATTAGAGATCCTGTCCGCATTGCCTATTGTGACTTTCTTTGATGTATTTAATACAGCATGATTTATTAAAGAATATGACACAGTTTGGTACAAGGGGGGAAAAAAAAACAGGTTTAATTTCATAAAGAGATATTCATTTAATACAGTAATAAAACAAATGTATGCCCATGACCCCCATCTTCATTTGTATAGTCAGGAGAGCTGTCAGATTGTACTGAAACAAGTATTTACAACAGCAAGCTGTTCCTCACTCGCTCTAAATTCCCTTTTTACAGGACTCGGGTTGAGCATGTGCAATGAATGATGCCCTCTACGGCTATTATAGGAAAACCTTGAGGCGAACAATCTGAAAAAGCTTTGTACGACTGAGAGATAGAAAAGATGCTGTCATGTTTGACTGTTTGTATAATTAGAAAATCATTTATAAATGCAGGGGAGCACAAAAAAAAGGGGAAAGTCAACTAAACTGGCTCAGAGTGATTTGTAACGCTGTACAGATTGCATTGATCATTTCATGTATGCTGTGTCACAGAGTGGAAAACTTCAAGCTCTCTTCAAGAACAGTCTAGACTGCATTAAGGCTCAGAATTTCTCAATATAAACGAGTGTAGATGTTAGGAAAGGACACTGGGATTTCATCCAAGACTACAAACAGTTCGACCCAATTGCAATTGTACTGTGAAACATTGCACATGCATTATTTATTGCATTTTTACATCAATTCTTTTTTTTAAATCTTTATAAGTTATCTTAAAAACCCTGCATTAATGTGTGCCGAATCACCACCTCGAATCCACGCGTCTCTGTGCTGTTCAGTGTTTGCAAGTGTTCTTTCACATGCTTTAAACACAAAAGCCTGGTTTGAAAAATTCTTTTCAGCATGATTGATCAGGAAATAGGTGGAGAAAGTCTGTAATTCACTGTAATAAATATATAATTCTTTTCTTAAATAAAAATAATTTCTCCATTACACCTGCTTCTCCAACTGGATGGCTCTTCTCATCTGACTGGCTCTAGACCAATGGAAGTGCTCTAGGCAACAGACCAATCAGCAGCTCTTCAGAGTTTCAGCACTGCAAAAAAGAAAAAAGACAACAGAAGGTCAGATTTTTTTTCCTCAGGATTATTAAGTTATTATTTATAAACTATATACACATTAAGTTTCTAGGGAACTAAAGTATAATGTGAGAAACGCAGTATAACAGTAACCAATATTTTGACCAACTATAACTGCTAGTCTTATTTTGTTTATCTCAGTAGTCTTATGGTTGAAGAGCAGAGAAAATCTTCCCTTTACTAATTCTGTTGGTACGGTGAACCATAGACCTACTGCGCTTAAAACAATTGAAATGGTTTATTTTAGGCTTAATCTGACTTTCATTTAGGAATAATACTGACTTGCTTCCTGGTCCAAAACTGACATTATTGTACAGAAGATTTGATTCACAGAATCTCCCCCCAAAAAAAACCTCTAGAAATGGATGAGCTTTACATTCTGTATATTAACAATTTATGGATGAATAAATGCTCATATGATGCCAGACAGGGAACTACATAAAAAAACTTTAGACCAATTAAACATGTATATTCAAAAGCAATTCAAACATATGATGGAATTAAGGTCACTTTACATCGTTTCATATGATTGTTAACAATGCCAAGCTGTTTTTCTATTGTAATGTCTGATCTTAAAAGAAAAGAAAAGCCAAGACCATGTGGACAGCACAGATCAGTAAGTCTAAGACAACCCTGTGAAGCTTAATCTACCATCTAGTGTAGACTAAATTTACTTTGTAGAACAAAGTCTGACACATTTTTGTCAAATCTTGCCCTACTGTTTTCTCATCTGTTTGCAGGTAAGAAAATCTGTCTTTTTCATGCATTGGTTAATTGTGAAATGACAGAACAGTCTTGGTAAGGCTGTCATGATTTATCGAGTAAAACTTTCAATTTAGAAAAACAGCTTTTCCCAAAGCAGGGTTGTGCGCTAGGCTTACACCTGAGACAAATATGGTTTGGAGTGAGAAATGATATTAGGAAGATAAACTACAAAAATAATGACAAATAGATAAAATTCTTGAAGTTCACAGTTTATTTATATACTCTTAAAACATCAGAAAACATGTACACAATATCTTCAACTGTTACTTTTTTTCAATGGTTTTACAGCATTCTCTGACCTGCAAACAGATAGAAATAAAAGTAAAAAAGATGCTGAAATAAAACAAAGCCAACCACCAAAATAAATACCGTTTTTACTCCTTTACACAAACCTCCATCAGTCAGTCAGTCAGTGTGGTCTACCAAGCATTGTTTTTTTCTCCCTCAAGTCATTGATCTCTATACCTGCAAGTCATATTTGAAATGACCCAGATATCATACAGTATATTTCCCTTCTCAGATGTGTAAATAAAACTGGACAGTTCAAGATGCTAATGGGTATGCAATGCAAGGACAGAACCATGATTACAGACAAGAAAAAAAGATAATGCTCATCCACACAAATAAAATCGTTGGTTCTCAGCATTGAAATAAGATCCAGGCCATTCATCTTCAAATCAATCAATCAATCAATCAGGTAAAATACATTTTGAACACTTTTACATACAAATGTGTACTCTAGACCTTCAGCCCTATTATGCAAATAGTGAAATGACAGAAAATAAAGTTCAGGCACAACAAATAAATTTAAAACACAATAATCCTTAGCAAAACATTTCAGATGAGAGACAATGAATACTGGCATCGGAACAAATCACTGAACAACTAAACCAGCCAGAGGCCCATAATTATGACGAACAATCACACATGAGAACTGCTGCCTTGTGCTCCAATGTCCCACTTTGCAGGGGGACACCACAGTGGACAAGTGTTTTAATCGAGTTATTTAAAGGAACTCAGGTTAAGAGTTTTGCATTCCACTGCAGCTACATCAAAACTTATAGTTTGCTTCGTGATGTGATATGCCTAAATTGGATAAACATATGGAACCATTAAAAATGCTCATTATTCCATTTAACATATATGCACTCCCAAATCCATGCAAAGACAGTCGGGGTGGTCGGTGGATTGGCTGAACAACAGGAACATTTTCGCCATAATCAGATATATAAAAAGCAGTCGAAGACACAAACAAGACAACGGGAGAAGGGAGCAAAACAAGTGGGGGAAGAGAGAAAAAAAAGCTGCGAACAGGGCAAGTAGATTAGGGAGGAATGAGCTTGGGAAGCAGATGTTGTAGCTGCAAGGGGTTCGGAAAGAGGATGCACAGTTAGGCTGGCAGGTTTCTCCATGTCTGAGGTGGTACTCTCTGCATTTACAGAGTCGCTGTGCTCTCCTCACAGTGGCACTTGAGGTGACTTCGGCTTATCGGCACCTCCCCCCGTAACGGCAGCTCGACTGGCTGCAAAGCCACGGCTGGCCAAGAGCCACGCCCAGATCAACAGCCGTCTGCTCAGATCACTGAACTTGGATTAGTCGTCTCAGAACGCCTGAGAAAGATCAGCACCAATTAAGTCTCTTTTTCTACCTGAGCGAGGCACTCTACCCAACAGGGTCAACTTTTACAGTTACACAACTTCCATAATAAAAGAAAACAATTAAAGGATGGCCTAACTTGAATTCTAAGACTTTAGCTCATGTAATCTTAGGGCGATTGGACAGAGACGCTGTCTAGAAACACTGTAGTGATAAAAAAAAAAACTAAATGCAGCAGGAATGATCTGACACTGTGAATCTATAACACTTCCTCTGATCATACAAAAGGAAGCATTAACTGTGCTAAGTTAGGGATGCGGATAGAGTAACAATCGACTTGTAAGGGCCACCATTTAGTTGGTAATCATTTGAGAATGGGTTCAAGCAGACATTTTCACATGCCTAATTCTTCATGAAAGCTATTCAAGCTCAATAAAAAAATGTTTACAGGGATCTTTAACAGCAGATAGTGACCAAGAATAACTCAGTTTAAGGCAAACTGAAATATTGTGGGCACTCAAGAACCCATAAAACCTTTTCCTACTAATCTCTGTCATCCATTTTCATTATAATAAAGGTATGATGATATGACAAGATCAAAAGACCGGTTACATATGGGCGAACATTAGATACTTAACATGAAAACCGTTCAATTCAATCCCCTTCTCTTGCCTTCTCAACAAAAATAAATTAGTCCTGGTTTTGCCTGGCTGACATTTTTCTGTTTCACTCTGAAAGCTGACTGGGTACAGCAAAGTTTGAGATGTGTCAGAAGGGGTACAGGGCCAACTCGGTTGCCTGTTTTGCCTACCTTACCAAGGCATATCACCTCACGTCTCAAACTGAGTTAGCAAGGCTCGGACCTCAGGAGTGAGCTGCTTGGCAGCCTTGGCAGCCTCAGTGATGGCTTTACGATACAGGCCCTTTCTCTTCTTGTCAAAGCGAGACTGGAAGTTTTCTAGAAATGGGGCAAGCTGAGTAATGGCCAGGAAGGAAGTGGTGGGCGACCCAAACCAAGAGACCCGGGCCTCCTGCCTGACTAAGAGCCCATTATCTTTGCGACTCACTGTGATGGCTAGGATGCGGGCGGGCCACCAGGGGAAGCCAAGGATTTTGGCCCAAACAATGTCCCCAACACAAATTGTCCTGCCATCCAGGGCAACGCACTTTGTGACGTTTTTGGAAAAGACTGTAGCTTTGAGGGATTTACTGCGCTTTTTGTCGTCCTTAGGAGCAGAGGGAGAGGCAGAGGCAAAAGTGGAGGATGTGCCAGGGGCAGGGGCCGAACGCAAATCACCAGGAGGGGGGAAGTCAAACGTTTCGGTAGAGCTACACTCAGAGTTTGATGACTTTAAGTCATCTGCACTATCGATGCTGCACATGGATGTACTAGAGGAGTCGGGCTGGCTGGGGTTAAGGGTCATGTAGACCACTAGGTTACCAGCCTTGCTCCCACGCGTCTCCCGCTTTTCCTCCCGCCCCTCCTGTTCCTCTGTCTCAGCCTGGGGTTCCCTGTATTCCGGAGCTGGAAGGGGATCGGGTTGGGCCTGGTTGAGAGGGGACTCAATCGGTTTGTCTGGCCTCTGGGGCTCTACAGCTGTGGCGACTTGGCTAGCAGAGCAGGAGGAGGAGGAGGAGCGTGTGGAGGTGCAGCGGGGCACGGCTGGCTTAGGCAGTGGTAAACGGCCCCCTCCCGGCACTTTCTCCAAGCAAGGCGGCTTACATGAGGAAGAATCGTTCTCTTCATTACGGTACCTTTGGGGCTTGATGCGCATCCTGGGCGGCAGGGGGTTGGAACCTCGACCTCCACTAATCTGCTGCAGTCGCCGGGTGAAGTGGACCTTCTGGTGGGCTTCCTGGAGGGCTGCGGCCCTGGTTATGGCCTTGGTGTTTCCGCTACTGCCTGTGACTGTCTCTTTCTGTCTTCTCTGAGCCTTGGCCATCTTCAGCACCTCTCGTACTTTGGAGTGGTCAACATTTTTGCTCTGAAGCACTTTTTTGGCATTGAGCTGCACTCGAGAGTTGGCCGAGGACGTTGTTGTAGTGGACACCCCCTTTACCATTTTGTTCCCTGCAGCTGCACCTTTGACCTGACTATGGCCCAGAGAAGAGGCGGTGGATGATGACACCCGTATGGCTGAACCCTGCCGTTTGGGCCCATCGGTACTACGGCCCTTCTCTTCAGAACGTGGATCACTACGGGGCCGCTTACCAGCAGCTGCCGTTGCGTTGTCATTACGCCGTCTTTTGGCATCGTCACTCCGGCAGTCTGAAATGGGGCCTCTGCGTGTCTCACGCTTGTCCCCTTGCACCACAGCCCCTTTACATTTATCACACAGAACTTGTCTTGGTCGGAGCTTGATGGCATTCATTATAGAAGTGGGCTCCTCTCGATACAGCCTGCGCTTGGGCCGCTTGATTTTGCGGGGTAGAGGCTGAGGTAACGACTGGTTGTAGGTGTCCCTGATGAACAATGGAGGTGGATAAGGGGCCCCCTCCTGAAACAAAGGAGGGGGTTTTGAGGTCCATGGGTTAGGTTGAGGGTTGGGACAGGGCTGGGGTGCTGCAGGAGTCTCAGCAGGGTCCTTCAGAGGGGCATCCGGGGCATCCACAGGGTCCTCAATTGGGGCATCACTAGTTCCTTGAGCAACACCCTTATCCGTCTCTGATTGGAATGCTTCCGTCTTCAGCTGCATAGATTCTGGCTTGTCCTTATACTCTCTCTTGGGGAACACAGTTATAGGAATCCCATAAGGTCCAAACCTGAGGTACAGAGGATGAGAAAAGACACTAAAGTTAAACTGAACAGAACAGTGAGGTTGGGGTCTAATCCCCGTTTCCTCAAATCTAAACACAAATATCAAGATACTAGATTACTACTAACAGATTATGGATACGAATATGCAACAACAAAATGTAGCAGAGTTGTTTGTTCAGTCCTAGAACTGAAGAGTTACTCTGAGGTCTGAAAGCATTACATTCATAGCCTAGTGTTCCTTTGTAATTTTGCAGTTATTCTGCAGAGTTTTAAATCATTATTTTGCAAAAAAAAAAGTTAAGCATTAGTAACACTATTGTTCTGGTTTCATTTAAAATATATCTTCACAAGACTTGGATTTAAAATCACTGACTTTGATCAAATGGATTTCAGTTTTGGTTACCTGGACTTTCAATAGAGGGACAGAAACCTCTAAGGTTTAGGCTATATATCATGTCTGTATTCATGACTACAGATGGGAAAATTGATGATTAACTGTCAAAGCAGAAGTACAGCAACGGATAAAATCCAATGTGGGCCAAGAAGAACTTACTCTGCAGAATATTAATTATTAATTGTTATTGTAGAGTAAAGTACTAACCATACAGTTTATTTCAGAAGTGAATCGCCACCTGTCTATTTGTATCACTACGTAAAAAGGTACAATGAATGCAAGTGATTTTGATACTGTGGTGTAGAATAAGAGACGTGTAAAAAACTGTGACAACAAAGTACTCTCCCTTAAAAAAAAATGTGTTGAGTCTGTGATCTGTTGAATGTCAGAGGAATATACATTGTTCCTGACTTACAGCTGAAACTGGGAATGGCCTAACATTGAAAATGCAAATTAAGTAAGCCCTCAGAGCGCAAGCTAAAAATAAACTGGACAGTATGTCTGGCAAACCACTTCAACACCATGTCACTGACAGCGTTCAAGTTCAGTTGATGTACTGCGGCTGTTACATCACAGAGGAAAAGTTGCACCGATACTTGGTATCGGCTCCGATACTGCCATTCTTTGCCGGATCGGGTAACGTTCAGACGAGACCAATCCAAATCCGATATTGTGCGTATACTATTCTGTTATTGTTAAGCCCCACAAAAGGCACAAAAACATTATAAGGCACCATTAAGTTTTCGTGCACTATATTATAAGTGTTCTGAAGTCATTCTATAGTATAATGTGAGGTTGTAATTAATATTTAAGTCGTTAAATTCAAGTTCATGTAAACTCTTCCCTCCGCTGTTGCTGTCAGTCATTCTCCATTCAGCATTCAAACAGCGTGACGCGCTCGGTCACGACAGTCAATACGAAACTCTCCAAGATGATTCAATGTCACTATTATTATACTTGATTTGTAGAAAAAAGGCGGCGGTTTCACATAAAACAACTTTGCTGGACTTTATTGCTGTACCTTAATCATGCTGGTTGAGGAGAGAACCCCTGATATGATTGTAAAGCGCTTTGGGTGTACAGTAGTACATATGAAAGCGCTATATAAATGCCTCATTGATTCATTCATTCATTCATTCATGTTACTTTCTACCGGGTGTCTACCTGGAGTAGAGTAGAAAGCACTATAATTGTTCTTCACGCGCACAGTAACTGAAAATTAAAACTGTTAAAAGAAAAGGCTCAATCAACTATTGCATAGATAGATACTGTATAATACACTACTCATCAATATGTCTTTCCTTTGTGCTTTGAACTTTTCAATGCGGACTCGAATTGCTGCGCGCTGTGACTCCATGTTGCTTCAAGAGCATCATTCTACCCACGGGATGCGCATATGCGTTTTCTGCCCCATTGTAATGGAGCCTTTCATATAATACTTTTGCCCAATGAAAGATTATTAATAGCCTTTCTTGTTCTGTCCTATCATATGTTGCTGCCTCATTAAACACATGCGTTATACATTTAAAATATGTCTTAATTTTATAGTATATACTTTATATAGGCTACTTGTTTTTCATGAATGTATTTTACAACAATAAGAGCAATGTGTAACATTTTACCAGATTTACACTTATTGGGTCTCATTCATGAAACATTCGTAAATATACGAGTAAATATGCGAGTGATTTGCACGTAAAGAGACCTTCACGAAAACTCTTCTCCTGATTCACAAATACTTCGTAAACGTCAGATGTGATAGTGAAATGTGTGTGTGTGTGTTAATGAATTCCAATCAGTCGTAAATGGGATGCGCGTGCACGTTCATTCTCAATTACCATAAATCCCGCCCATTAAATCCGACTGACAACTATATATGGGCATCATTATGACATGAATGCGAATGAAAAAAAAAAATTCTCAGATGCAGAAATTGAAGTTTTATTATCAGAAGTTCAGTCAAAACGCCACATTTTATTTTCAAGCGTACATAGTGGCGTATCGGGTCCTAAAAAAAGGAAGTTTGGCAGCATATTAGATGCAGTTAATGGAGTTTCATCTGTTAATTGAACATTCCCATAAGTGAGAAGAAAATGGTTCGACATTAAGCTTGAGAGCAAAAAACGAATTAGTTCACTTCGGAAAAATAGTATTCAAACTGGAGAAGGACCACCATCGCAGATGCTATTACTGGCTCTCATAATAAGAAAAACCGTATGTAATTACTATATATAATATTTTTTCAAAATGCTGTGCAAATATGTACCCGATTAAGGTGAATTAAAATGCAGCCTTATTAATGAGCAAAACGTTCGGGTGTTAAGCGCACTATTCACGCGTGGCTGGGAGCAGGTGTAGATTTCTTGTGTACCAACTAACATTTGGAAAATACGAACATTTTAATGAATCCGAAAATTTACGCCAGAACCACTTTACACACGATTTACACAAAAAATCGTTCTGCTCGTGTTTCATGAATGAGACCCAATGTCTCTTATTTGTTCCCCACTAAATAATGTATTATTTTCACTAAATGTTCAGATTTTATACAATTATTGTGCACTCATGATTTTTCTAGAGTAAATTTTACTGCTGAATTATCCACTAATTAGTTTATAATGGCATTTTTGTCAGATTCTGATCATATATTCTTTTGTTGTTTTTCTTTATAATAAAGTTTTCTGTAGTTAGTAGATTGTGTTTAGCACACAAAAGAGTGATTATCAGTTCAACACACAAGAGTTATAGAAATTCTACTTGATTAAAAAAAACTGCAATGGTATCGGATCGGTATACTCAGAAGTTTTGGTATCGGATCGGTTCTGAAAAAATGGTATTGGTGCATGTGCATCCCTAGGAAAAGTGGGACCTTCAGAAGGAAATTATTCCACACCCAGGACATTAGTTGTTTTTAACCAATTATAGAATAAATATCCATATATGTCCATCTTGTCACCACTCCAAAACATGAGCAATTACACTGAAACCATTAAAGACAAAATGGAAATTGAAGAGAGGAAGTTTGAGTTTTCCCACACTCTCACAGATGGCCCTACTCACAGGAAGCATGGAATTAGCTGAGCTAGTGGCACTTTCTCAATTAAGAACATATTTTTGCTTCTGTTTGAGATTCAGAGCTGTAACATGTTTCATCATTAACATGTTAGAGCACAAAATACCAATGCTGGGGGCCTTAAACGAATACAAAGACTTAAATTAAGTTAAGCTTCAATAGCAGCATCTGTGACATGCTGTGAAGTACAGAACATAATTTAATTTCATCCCACAGTCTGTACAAATAAAAAAACAAGCATGTACAATGGAGGTCTTAAAGGGTTAGTTCACCCAAAAATGAAAATTATGTAATTAATGACTCACCCTCATGTCGTTCCAAGCCCATAAGACCTCCGTTCATCTTCGGAACACAGTTTAAGATATTTTAGATTTAGTCCGAGAGCTTTCTGTCCCTCCATTGAAAATGGACATCAGTGGCTTAGTTAGAATGTTTTGACGCATCGAAAATACATTTTGCTCCAAAAATAACAAAAACTACGACTTTATTCAGCATTGTATTCTCTTCCGGTTCTGTTGTCAATCCGCGTCCACGAGTCCGCAGTGACGCTGGTGACGTAAGACGCTGCTGACATGTTATCTGGTGTGTCCGTGTATTCGGGTTCAAATAAATATGGCTGGGCAAAAAAATGCAAGTCTTCCTCTGTGTCGAAATCCTTAGACATGTTTGCGAAGATTGTTTTGTTTACAGCGTGCGTGTCTCCCTCAGACTGTAAACGAAGCTCTTTCGCACCAGATAACACGGACGCAGCAGCGTCTTACGTCATCAGCGTCACTGAACGCGGATTGACAACAGAACCGGAAGAGAATACAATGCTGAATAAAGTCGTAGTTTTTGTTATTTTTGGACCAAAATGTATTTTCGATGCTTCAAAACATTCTAACTAACCCACTGATGTCACATGGACTACTTTGATGATGTCTTTATTTCCTTTCTGGACAAGGACAGTATACCGTACATACATTTTCAATGGAGGGACAGAAAGCTCTCGGACTAAATCTAAAATATCTTAAACTGTGTTCCGAAGATGAACGGAGGTCTTACGGGCTTGGGACGACATGAGGGTGAGTCATTAATGACATCATTTTTGGGTGAACTAACCCTTTAAGCTTAACTTTTAAATCCAGAATATTCCTTTAAATAGTGGTCTGCCATGTCAGGGTTCCCCAAACACCCCTGGGAGTTCAAGAGGGAACTAAAGGGGGTTTTGTGATTTGGTGGAATGATATGATAAAATCAAGTAATTTTATTTTCTATTGTACCTTTCTAGAGCTTTACATCTAAACATAAAAAGGAAATCAAAATAAGAGTGACAGACATTACAAACAGAATCGGATAAGAGTGATATAATGATCTGCTAATGCTTTCAAATGCTAATGAATTAATTATACAACTGTGTAGTCAGATGCGCTGCGTGTTTCAAAGTGATCGGCTTGGTTCATAGCTAACTTGCATTAGAGTATGCAACGTGCACTTGGTTTACTTAATTTATATATTCGCATAATATCCAATATGTTTCAGGACAGATGTTTAAAGCATTTCACTAGTATTTCCACGAATATAAAAGCTTGAGGGTTTTAACTTTTGAATGTGAAGAATTTAAGACAGGGGCGCCCAATCCTGGAGATCTACCTACCTGCAGAGTTCAGATCCAACCCTGATCCAACTCACCTTTCTGAAATGATCAAGTGCTCCTGAAGATCTTAATTAGCTGCTTCAGGTGTGTTTGATCAGGTTTGGAACTGAACTTTTGCAGGAAGGTAGATCTCCAGGAACAGGATTGCACACCCCTGATTTAAGACATAAATATTATTGAAACTTGTAGTGTAAAATAATTGTTCTAATGTAATTCACATAGAAATATTTTTTCTGTCTTTGTTTTTAGTTGCAGTTAAAAACAGTATTATTATTATTCAATTAAATTGGGTTTCTAAAATACCAGTGTGGATATGTGGACTGAGACACTATCAACCTAGAGTCTTGTGTCCACTTTAAAGTCCATCTACAAAGTCAAAATAAATAAAATAGTAAAAAAAAGATTAAAAAGTTTATCCATTTACTTGCATGTCATGTGACCACTAACCGACTTCATAGAACTGTGAACATGCGAACGAGTCATTCAATTATTGAAATATTAACTTGAAATCTCAGGGGGTACTTCAAGTAAATATTTTACGTCTAATGGGTTCAGCTGAGAAATCACTTGGGGAATTCATGGTCTGTGTCAGTTGTGTTAGAATAAAGATGATGGGCATTTTTGGGCTATGCCCACAGCATAATCTTGCTTTTAACTAATCCTGGCCTGTGTAATTAATTGGTTGACTTGTATGGTCTATCAGCATAGAGAAATCTTCCATAATTTCCAGCTGATGTAATAATCACTTCCTAACAATGTTGCTGGACAGGTTCTTCAAGACACCTTCCCTACACAGCAACATCACAAGAATGTTTCATGTTGACTTATCTAAAGTGAGAACTGAACTGAGAGACTGGAGATCCCACTGCAGGCCACATGGATGGCACTATAAATTGGGCTCAGCTATGATTCATATCTGACACTGAGAGAAAACGTGTGAACAAGGGTGTTGAGACAGACAAACTGTGGGAGCAATTTGTAGGGTGTTAATCACCAGCATAACACCATTTCCCCCCTTGGTTATTATGTTCTTGTGTCTACATAGGCTCACACTGCGAGCCTTAGTGCTCAATTCCGATTTATTCCTCAGATCCAATTTTTTATTTTTATTTTTTTTTTTTAAATGTGGCCAATATCAGATTCCAGTTTGAACAGATAATGGTCCTGAACTGACCCGCAAGCGCAAAAGAACGATAAAAATGACACGCAGCACGTTGTCATACAAAAGTAAACATGGAGGGCATTAAAGTAAGTGATTACGTGTTTATTTACAGTGTGACCTGCCGCGGAAACCAGGCAATTTAAAAAAACAAAGACGAGGATGAGAAAAAAAAGAGTTTTTAAACATGTATAATAAGAGCCCTCGTGTTTTGCTTGTATATAGAGCTGTCACTGTAATACTTGTGAGTTCTGACACATCACTGTACTGTCCTTCACTGACTACCTTTCGCAACTGTCTTGATAACTTCGAGCATGTATAATCTTTGAAGTGACTATGATGAGCGCAGAATTGTGACAAATGTTGCACTAGTGAAGTAAAAATCGCATGAATTCCAATATGACTGGTCAGACCTGTCTCGGATGTAGGCCTAGTACCACATATGAAAGTGGCACAAATCAGAATTGATTGTTTGTGCTGCTCAGCCTGTCATGAGAAAAACAGATCAGTCACATATGTGAAAAAACATTTTTTATTTTATTTTGGGCCACATTTACGGATTTGAGCCACATTTACCTGCAGTCTGAACATAGCCTTAGTTACTAAGCTGAATAAGGGTAGCTGACATTTTTTATATTTAAGTAGTGATAGTAGTGTCATGGAATATGACTTCAACACTGTTTTTGTTTATTCTTGTATAATGTAATTTTTATGACTTGGAATACTTCAATTTTACTATCGTAATTTATACATAAAAAAGGTTGATTAAAATAGTATTTTTTTTTAAAGACTTCACCAGTCACACCAGCGCCGCAATTAATAATTTCCTGTAAATAATAGTTTATTTATAAACAAACATTTTAGGAGAATAAAATGAGTAAAACTATTAAATAGGACAGATAAAACCAATAACTTACAAGCTTAGCTTAACCTACACTCCAAACTATAATGATAATTTATAATCTAAAATGTAATAATGACGACGCTCTTTACTCTATCTTTATGACAGCTACATAAGAAAGCCAACTTTGGGAAGTAACGTTATGCTGAATGTAAAAGTGGACACTAAAATTTCTTTGCGCAAAATAGTGTTTACCTTTTTGAAAGGTCCATAAGTACCCCGGAGAAGATCTTCTCGCCTAAGCGAAACGACACCACGAGCGCATCGTCGATGATGTGATCCAGCGAGACTCGAACCTCGGACCCGAGCACCAGGCGCTCCGCCGTGTCGGCCTCCGCCGCACACAGAACCGGGGCTTTCGTCTCCGACTCCCTCTCGGGTTCGCTGAGGTCCGTTTTGAAGCTCTGATGATGATGATGATGATGAAGAGGATGCAAGCGCACTTCTTCTGACTCTACCGATGAGATGAGCGACTGATTCACTACCGTTGGAAGTCCCCGAGAGTCCTTGCTAGAAACAGTAGAAAAGTCACTAATGTAGCTCTGACCCACCGATTCTCCAAGCGAGGTCTCCTCTGCATTGGACAGACAGTCCAGGTGATCTGAGGGGTGCGGGATGTCATGAAAAGCATCCTCGTGAGATTTGAGTTCCGACCCGAGAGCATCGTATGCGGGTTCGGGCTCCGGGTCAGGCTGCGTGAAGCCTATGAGTTCACACTCCAGATCGGTAGGGTGGCTTGACAAGGGATTGGAGTCGTATTCGACAGCCAGAGACAGTCCGGTTTCAGGCTCCGACGGAACCTGAGAGGGAAGGGAATGCAAGGAGACCACGGAGTGCTGGGAGTCTGAGATGGAGCTGGGGAGCAAAAGGCAGGGGCTGGATTCGAGAGGACTGACCTCGTTTGCAGCCTCCACCTTCGGCGAGAAGGAGCCCCCGTAATCAGAAACGCCTGTACACTTGTAGTCCATAAGCACGGGCTGCTCAGCAGTGTCCAAGCGGCCCCAGGAACCCCTCGTTTCGGTGAGCTCACCGTCCGCATGGGCAGCGAGGGCTTTTCCCGCGGCTTGAAGGTCCGGCCTTCTGATTTCCAGTTGGACCTGGCTGCATTCCTGAACTGCATCCACATCCTCGGGTTGGTGACAAAGCTCCATTTTCGGGACGGGGTGTGCCTCTAGGTCGACCACATGCTCTCCTGGCTCGGGTTCGTATTCCACCCCGTCCCCCGCTGTTGTTGATGCCGCAGCAGCTCCTGGCTCCGCAGCCACGGCCGCCATTTTCTTTCCGCTTTGCAACTACTACTTGGCCCTCTCCTCCTGATAAGATTAGAGCCCGCCCACTTACAACTACTGACACTTTCCATTAGCTGCTTCAACGTGTGGTTGTTATTGATTGGCTCAAGGTCTTGTCGTTCAAAGGAAATCCCTGGAAACACTATTGTGATTGGCTAATATTATGTCAATATACTTTATAAGGATACAACTTTGGTACCACCAGGGGCGATGTCGAGTTGTATATACGTCAGGGTTTGTTGGTGTGGTCCATTTGTTAAATCCTATTCTAAAAACAGTGCTGTTTGATTTTGGTAACATTTCAACTTACAAACAATTTCTGAATATCCATATATTTCCAGTTCCATCAAAGGAATATAATACCTCGTTATCAATAAATATAATAAGCTATCCCAGCAGGTTTAACCCAATTAAGCAAAAATCACCTTTTAAAGGTAACAGTGTTTATCCGGCTTTTCGCTTAGGTGGTAGCCGGTGGTAGCCTACTGACCTTTTAGATCGGAAATGCATGCAACAACAGACAAATTCGCAAAATCTTTCAAATGAAAGAAAGTAATCAGAGGGATTAAGGGGTAAATTCTATTGGGGTTCTTTTGTTACAAATGTAAATTGGAGAAAGGCATGGCTTTTGCCAAGTACATTTTGTGTCTCCAACAAAATGAAGGAAATTCATTATAAAATCCTTCATAAAATCTATCTTGTTTCTAAATATTCTGATATTGACAAAACTCGCTCTTTTTGTGGTTTTGTTGAAGAAACAGCTTCTCATTAGGGCCCAAGCCCAAAGGGCGAAGGCCCTATTGTTTTCCTTAGGATTATTTATTATTATTATTATTATTATTATTATTAGGGCCCAAGCCCAAAGGGCGAAGGCCCTATTGTTTTCCTTAGGATTATTAGGGCCCAAGCCCAAAGGGCGAAGGCCCTATTGTTAGGGCCCAAGCCCTGAAAGGGCGAAGGCCCTATTGTTTTCCTTAGGATTATTTTTAGGGCCCAAGCCTTGAAAAGGCGAAGGCCCTATTGTTTTCCTTAGGATTATTATTATTATTATTATTATTATTATTATTATTATTATTATTATTTTATCGACTATTCGGGCACTTTTGGGGCTCTTAACGTGCACGAAAACTCTTGAAACTTTGCACACTGGTCAGAACCCGTGGCCATCAGGGCCGGGCTGAAGCTGGTACCCGGGCGTGGCAGGGGGGCTCGACAGCGCCCCCTGGAACGGGGTCCGAAAACTTGGTCCATAAATCAAACACGCTTGCATGTAATAATATGAAACTCGGTACACATATAGATCTCATCGATTTATATATCCTTTGTACTTTTACTTTTTACCCCAGCCCAACAGGAAGTCGGCTATTATGGTTTGTTTGGAAGCGTATGCCCCTGGAATTCGATATACTCCTCCTAGAGAATTCAACCAATCGCAACGAAACTCGGTCAGCATGATGTCAAGACATTGAGGATGAAAAATTGCCAGGGGATTTCTGATATCTCGAACGGTTTGGCCGTGACGAGGAAACGAATTTATGGCGAATAATGGAAACAGGAAGTGTGTTATAACTTCTGCATACATTAACTGATCTTGATGAAACTTCAACAGTGTGTTCGCTGTAAGAAGCCGATCACATGGATGTGACTATTGTGAGTCAAAGTTATAGCGCCACCAACTGGCAGCAGGAAGTGTGTCACTTTCAAAATGCTTTGAAATCACCCTCTTATTTTTACCTGATTTGCTTCAAACTTGATGTGTATAATGTAGACACTCGCCAGATGTAGACCTGTGAAAGGATTATTGATATCTTAGATACTGTTGCCATGGCAACGCATCAAACTTTAATATTCTTTTTGGATGCTTTTGAGACTCTTAGCATGCCTGAAATTGCTTAAAATTGCATGAAACTCGACAGACAGATCACATTTATTAGCCAGTAGACATGTGCAAAGTTTCAGAAACGGGCGTGGTGCAGGGGCTCAGTAGCGCCACCTTTTGTGACAAAAGTGGGTGGGGGGGGGGGTTACTTTCATCTACAGTTACAAAACTTTTTCAACTTGATGAAAATACATTAAAGATGCTAAATTGTGAACGGATATTGAATATCTCAAACGGTTTTGCTATGGCGAGGGATTATGTCAAAAAGAGAATCAGGAAATGTCTCATATCTTTCTAAAATGTAATTATACACCATTTATTTTTCTATAAAATTATACTAATATTAGAACTAAACCCATTGTATTCCTTTTTTTCAATTTAAGATTTATGTTTAAGTTTAAAAACAGCCAGAATGGTTGTTTAGCCAAAAAAATAAAAAAATAAAAATCATTCACAGTGCTTTACTGCCCTCTTGTGTTCAAAATCAGGTAGGCCAATTGTATTAAATTGTAGGGATGCTACTATGGGAATATTTTCCCACCGTGACTCCGCTGGGGGCTTTAAAGTCGCTAACTTGAAAGCGAAAGTAACGGACGTCTCCACAAGACGTGCAGCTGTGAGCATTTTCGTTTCATTTTAAAAGAAGCCCCATTTCGGGGGCGGATTTCTTGAATGTATTTTACAAAATCACAATGTTGTGTTTGATTGCGAGTATCCAAAAATAAGTAAACACTTTGCAGTTTGAATGATCTTCTTGAATAAAATGACGGAGTAGCCAATGTTTCCACTGTTCGATCGCGGACGTCCACACGGACATTGATAATGGTGGTGCGTGCAGAGCGCTCGAGGGAATTCCTATGGAAGTAGGAATGAACTAAAAAACGTTCACTCTGTTCTGCTCGCTCATCGTCGTGGACGCGCAGCGTTATGAATGCCCGTGTGATGCAGCATAACACAGCAGAGAGAGACGCTCACTCTCAACTCGTGATTAATGAAATTTGACTCCGGTTGCTGATCTTTGCTGCAACTTTCGTTCAGCTCACAATTTAGTAAGCAAACCCGTTCAGGTTTTAATTGTAGTGACTAAATGATTTTATTAAACACACACACACACACACACACACACACACAAACACACACATCAAATTGACGGTGGGGGGCAATGGTATATTTAAATCTGCAAATTGTAATATATGCAGGGCACCCCGGTCCAGTCTTATTAAATGTATGCTTCATCTTTCATTTTTAATTTGTAAATTTGATCAATAAATTCAATTATTTAGAATGATAAGACACTATATGGCTTTTACCCTAGGTAGGGCTGATCAAATTAAATCGTTTACACTGAAAAATAACAATGCATTAAATAATGTTATGAGATTGTTTTAAATATAAGTCAATTAAAAATCGTTGGGAAGAATGATACTTTTAAACATAACACTAAACCGTCATTAGGTGTCGCCAGGCGACCGTCTTAATGAGCGAGTCATTGATTCATTCGTTCAAACAATTCGTTCGAACGGTTGAGTCATTCATGAATGAGACAGATTATGGATTGGTCATTGAATCTTTGAGTCAACCGATTCGTTCAAAATGCTGAATCATTCAGTAATGAGAACGCGTTGCTGTGAGATGCTCGATGGTTCTGCTGTGATCTTTGTTGAACTATTTTCGCTGCTGAAACAGAAAAAAGTCAATATTGCATCTAAAATGTAAGTGATTTGACTTGTGTGTTTGTGTGTGTGTGTGTGTGTGTGTGTGTGTGTGATTGCGTCTGTTACAGTGATTGTTTAACCCTTGTTAAAGTTTAGGCCTTGTCTTTTTGGATATATATCTTTTTAAATAAAAAAATAGGCATACAACCCATATATTTTAAATGTATTGTTTGCTTTAAATTACATTAAGATTTGTATGTTTGGTAATTGAACCTGAATGAATTTTAAATGAATGTGCTATATATCAGATCATATATTTGTTTTCCTTAACATTTAAACTAACACTAACTTTATTCTCATCTGAATGATAGATTATTTATTTCTGTATATAATAAAAACACATTTGATTTTTCTTTTTTAATCAATGTAGAATGTGTAACTGAAAAAATAAACAGATTAGGGCTCTGTTCGAGAACAAGAAATGAAAACCAATGCAATATGCTGAATGTCCAAAAGATTTTTTTTTGCTTTTAAACTACGTGTATGTGTGTGTGTGTGTGTGTGCGCGTGTGTGTGTGTAAGAGATTTTGGTTGGGTGACATTTGTAGTTTACAGTTTGACAAAAGCACAATGTTGTGTTTTATTGCGATTGTACACAAATATAAGTAAACAGTTTGCAGTTTGAATAATGTCCTGTATGAACAAAAGGACGGAGTATGTTTTTATGTCTACATTGTTCAATCACGTCTCTCACACACACACACACACACACACACACACACACACACACACACACACACACACACACACACACACACACACACACACACACACACACACACACAAAAACAATTTTTTCTAATCAGATCAGGCAAGTAATATTCTGTCTTGGCACACTTCATATAACTTTCAATCTTGTGTACTTATTTCATGTGTCCATTAAGTCCATGAGACCGTAGGGTGTCTCATTTTTCATTTTAGGATTCAGAAGTTTGCTCACGCATATGATATGTGCCCTCAATGCACACTTTTGCAGAGCCCACACCAATGCAAGCTCTACAGCACACATCTTCTCAACAGTCAAAGCGGGGTTAAGTTATTACCCGTCATGCACAGTAACCCTTAAGGCACCAGGGTGGCGGTGCCACCGGCTTGTTTATATATATATATATATATATATATATATATATATATATAAATATAGCTGCGAGCAGCGATGAAGGGCCAAAGCCGGCGGCACCGCCACTCTGGTGCCTTTAGGTTACTAAAGGCACCGGGGTTGCGGTGCCACCGGCTTGGGCCCGTAATCGCTGCTCGCAGCTATATTTTTTTTTTTTCTCTTTTATTTTTCTTACGACTATTCGGGCACTTTTGGGGCTCTTAACGTGCACGAAAACTCTTGAAACTTTGCACACGGGTCAGAACCCGCGGCCATCAGGGCCGGGCTGAAGATGGTACCCGGGCGTGGCAGGGGGGCTCGA